ACGATATTTAATTACCGTGCACTTTGAACTTCATAGTCTGTATATTGCCTTTTAGTTAAATATCTTTACTTAAGTTTCGAGTGTGTGTGTGTAACTATGTGGTAAAAGCCCAATAGACCACTTTAGGTCGCGGTGCAAGGGCCGAGGAGGCCTACCCCTCATATATTCATTCATTCAACTATGTGGTTAGGTAATATATTTTTAATTAACAGTTTTTTTTTCATTGGCACTACAGCCTCAGTGGGCGTAGGCCTACCTCCATGAACTTCTCCGTTCACTTCGGGTTTTCCAGATGTTACACTTACGGTAGGACTCCTTGGGCGGGTAATCAGTTCGTCGCAAGGCCTCTACCTGTACACAAACACGGAAAAACGCGCGCGCGCGCACACACACACACACATACAAACAAACTAAACATCCATGCCCTAAGTGGGATTCGAACCCACGATCCCGGTTTCCAAGCGAGCGAAGACAGTGCATGCCTTAGACCGCTCGGCTACCGTGACCGACAATTAACAGTTATTAACCTTAAGAAAATTTAGGTAATCATTTAGCCACGGAAATCGGTCATGATGTTGAGGGCAAACAGCGTCCCGGCAGGCTCTGCAGAATAACCCTCAGAGCGCTTTCATTGCTCTCATCTCCTTGTACATACTCTTAGGCAGCGCTTACACGAGCGCACAAAATGCGTCCGTTGTAACAGACGTATTTTATGACGGACGTTTCTGAGGACACCACACAGTTACAGAATGCGGTGCGTAGTTTTTTTGTCTGCAACGGAGCCAGAAGAAAGCGTAGCATTCACCTCTCTTGCCTATTTCTACAACGGACGTCAAGACGTTCGTTACAACGGACGCATTTTGTGCCGTACGCTGCCGTAGAGTTGCATTAGAGAGCTTGGATTCAGGCCGATTGTGAAACTAGGCTATAACTGAAGTACAATTTGTGGGACGTACTGTAGTTTAGCTTACAAGATGACGTAGCAAGGATCACAGCGTAGCGCACGGCTAATTCTGTATTACACGCGGAGTGCAAAGGATAGAAGAGCGTTAAACCACATAATAATCGGTTCACAGATAAACTCCATCACGACTTAACTTCCACATGGTCTTTACTGGTTCGTTGGTTGGTTGATTGGTGTTTTATGTCTGTTAAAAAAAAAAGAGACTTCCAATAAAAACAGATCATTGTAAACCATCGTGTTTTCTGAATAACCTATTTAACAGGTCATTGCCCAGAGCTGAGAGATGTAGGGAAATTCCGACTGGCTAATAGAGAGACAGATATTGTTCTCGGTGTAATACTGGTATCTTCATAAAAAACATAGCTTCTTGTGTGAAAATAATGAGTGTCAGTTTGAACACACGGAAAAAAATAGAAGTTGCATAATTGCGAGCTCAAGAAGTAGCACACAAACACAGCCTTTTGTTCCTGTGAGGTGACGTGTTGTTTGCATACAACTGTTATGTAGGGCATTCTCAAAAGATTCCTGTAAGATAGGTCTACACTTCAGACGGATGCCATTGAACTCCCTTGGACTAGTGGATGAAAGTTTAAGGGCTCAAACCCGAACATCATGTGATACAAGGGGTACTGTATACTCGCGGTAGCAGTGTGCGCAGGTCTGTACAGGGCAGACAGGCCATTCGATTGATGTCAGAGTCAAGGAACATCACTGGCACATCCGTTCTGATCACCCGCACAAGTCAGCCGTGATTGGGCGCAGCACCAGCGTGGGACATTGCGTCCAGCTTCAGAACATGGGAATCATCTGCACTAGATCCAGATGCATGAGCGTATAATCAGGGAATCTACTCGCATCAATCCCCAGCCCAACATTTGAACAAGAAGGATGGCTCCTGCCTAAGCAGACTTCCTGAAAGAATGTATAAAGCTTCTCTCGTAGGATTTCTCCAACCGTGTACACTGCCCTTTTCAGGGCGCACACCTGCCCGATATGTTCTTCTTGCTGCTTCCTCCATCATCAGCCACTGCACTGCCTACAGCCCNGAAAGCTTCTCTCGTAGGATTTCTCGTGATGGGGTTCTCCAACCGTGTACACTGCCCTTTTCAGGGCGCACACCTGCCCGATATGTTCTTCTTGCTGCTTCCTCCATCATCAGCCACTGCACTGCCTACAGCCCCTGCTGTTCTCCAGGTCCATATATCTCTCCCGCTGTTCAGTCGCGCATTTGTCTCAAGCTTGCTTCCTCTTCTCATCCGCCACTGCACTACCCGCAGCCCTGCTGTTCTCCAGGTCCATATATATCTCCCGCTGTTCAGTCGCGCATTTGTCTCAAGCTTGCTTCCTCTTCTCATCCGCCACTGCATTGCCCGCAGCCCTGCAGTTCTCCAGGTCCATATATCTCTCCCGCTGTTCAGTCGCGCATTTGTCTCAAGCTTGCTTCCTCTTCTCATCCGCCACTGCACTGCCCGCAGCCCTGCAGTTCTCCAGGTCCATATATATCTCCCGCTGTTCAGTCGCGCATTTGTCTCAAGCTTGCTTCCTCTTCTCATCCGCCACTGCACTGCCCGCAGCCCTGCAGTTCTCCAGGTCCATATATATCTCCCGCTGTTCAGTCGCGCATTTGTCTCAAGCTTGCTTCCTCTTCTCATCCGCCACTGCACTGCCCGCAGCCCTGCAGTTCTCCAGGTCCATATATATCTCCCGCTGTTCAGTCGCGCATTTGTCTCAAGCTTGCTTCCTCTTCTCATCCGCCACTGCACTGCCCGCAGCCCTGCAGTTCTCCAGGTCCATATATATCTCCCGCTGTTCAGTCGCGCATTTGTCTCAAGCTTGCTTCCTCTTCTCATCCGCCACTGCACTGCCCGCAGCCCTGCAGTTCTCCAGGTCCATATATATCTCCCGCTGTTCAGTCGCGCATTTGTCTCAAGCTTGCTTCCTCTTCTCATCCGCCACTGCACTGCCCGCAGCCCTGCAGTTCTCCAGGTCCATATATATCTCCCGCTGTTCAGTCGCGCATTTGTCTCAAGCTTGCTTCCTCTTCTCATCCGCCACTGCACTGCCCGCAGCCCTGCTGTTCTCCAGGTCCATATATCTCTCCCGCTGTTCAGTCGCGCATTTGTCTCAAGCTTGCTTCCTCTTCTCATCCGCCACTGCACTACCCGCAGCCCTGCTGTTCTCCAGGTCCATATATATCTCCCGCTGTTCAGTCGCGCATTTGTCTCAAGCTTGCTTCCTCTTCTCATCCGCCACTGCATTGCCCGCAGCCCTGCAGTTCTCCAGGTCCATATATCTCTCCCGCTGTTCAGTCGCGCATTTGTCTCAAGCTTGCTTCCTCTTCTCATCCGCCACTGCACTGCCCGCAGCCCTGCAGTTCTTCAGGCCCATATATCTCTCCCGCTGTTCAGTCGCGCATTTGCCTCAAGCTTTCTTCCTCCATCATCCGCCACTGCACTGCCCGGAGCCCTGCTGTTCTCCAGGTCCACATATCCCACCCATTGGTCAAACTCGCCAATTTTATTCAGCCTTCTCCCAGCCCTTCACTTTCCAAATACAGGCATTTCAACGGCCACCTTCCTTTACCCCTCTTCGTACTCCTATTGGTGATCTTCGGGTTGCTACTCTGCCATATTCCCTCGCAAGGAACTCTGGGCTTATTTGGCGTATTTCCGGGCTTGAAAATATATCAGCACGTTCTTCCGAAACGCCAGTAACCTTCTACCGGACTGCATGACATACGTGCCAGAAGACAGAATCTTGAAGTCATGCGGAATTTGGATAATAAGAGTAACTACGTTCTGCAGGCACCAACATGAGATTCCAACGTCCAGTCCACCACATGGGTGGTAATGCAAGCACATACATATTACCACCAGTGTAAAGTTAGGTTGTCTGTGCTTGGTGAGCTTCTCAGGGTACTGGCAACTGGATTTCTCTAACATATAGGCCTCTGTGTGCATGTTTTTTTTTNAAACAGACCACACTTCACACGTTGATAATATTATTAATCAAGTTTATTGAAGAAAGAAATGAAGACAGAAAGATAGTAAAGTTACATTCAGAATCACCACCCTCGCGTCTCGCGAGCTGCCGTCTGTCTGCCTCTGGCCTAGGCTTTGTCCCAAAAAAACCACCACGTGTTACAGTGTTTTTTCAGCTGGCCATGCGGCCTCGTACGCACTCAGTGGTGAGGCCACTGGTCGTATGTCAATCTTCCTTGCTTGAAACAATACCGTGTGTGGTCTCTTTAGGACTGCTTATGCCAAGGGTATCCTTAATACTAAATGGTTATACATTTAAAGTTACAGTAATTGCGTGGGGGTCATATATGACACTCCAGTCCCCCACATGGGTGGTAATGCAAGCACATACATATTACCACCAGTGTAAAGTTAGGTTGTCTGTGCTTGGTGAGCTTCTCAGGGTACTGGCAACTGGATTTCTCTAACATATAGGCCTCTGTGTGCATGTTTTTTTTTTTCAGTCGTCTTCCGGCAACTGATTTACCGTACCGAATTATGGGCGAGAAAGAACGCACTTCTGAATGTTGAGGAGGTTACGCCTGACAAATGTGCTGTCGGCTTCCCTCTTAGCCCGAATCTAAAAAGAGACATGGGAACACAGCTGTTCAGCATGAAATCCTTGTTATGTTTAGGTGTACACTTCCAAGATGCAGCTATCACAACGCTCCACATCTTCAGTAGCCTGTCCTACTAATTAGAACTGTATATATGTTTAGTTTTTTCTCTTGGGTGAGACTGAGTCCACTTGGCACGCGGGCCACTAATTGGCCTGCCTGTTGTACCGGCCCGGGATGATACATGATGAATGTGGAGCAGCCGGTGGAATGAGAATTGGAAGGTAAACCGAAGAACGCGGAGTAAATCTGCCACAGTGCCACTTTGTCCACCACAAATCCCATATGACCTGATCTGCGCTCGAACCCGGACCGCTGCGATGGGAAGCCGGCGACTAACCGCCTGAGCTACGGCACGGTCTGTATATATGTGTGTAACTGAGCTCTTCCCTATTCCAGGTTGCAAGAGCTTCTTCAAGAGGAGTGTAAGAAGAAACCTCACGTACTCTTGTCGAGGCAACAGGAACTGTCCCATTGATCAGCACCACAGGAACCAGTGCCAGTACTGTCGGCTTAAGAAGTGTCTCAAGATGGGCATGAGGAGAGAAGGTGAGTGTCAGATTTCTCTTCACAGGCATCCGCTCAACTCGAATACCCACGGCAGCTCTTAGACGTACAGGTTTTCGGGTTTCGCTACACACTACACTGCAGTTGTGGGAATACCCGATACAGTTGCCAGACCGGCCTTCAAACAGCTGACACCGCATCTTAAGAGACGGGGAATATCAGAGCTATTTCGGCCAGTGACGGTAAAAGTAGTGTAACGTGTAGTACCGTTACTATGCAACGATCGCGAGAAGGAACATGTGTTGCTTGGCAACGGCTCGGTAAACACTACGCGGAAACGATATCCGCGACTGTCGCTAGATAACCACCCATAACAACAATATAGAGACTATTGGAGGCGGTGCTTTCTATTGGATCCTCCCCGAGGCTATATAAGGACCCCAGGTCGGCTGAGGTACTTCAGTTTAGCGAAGTGAAGCAGTTTGTTGGTGAGTGAGCGAGTATAGTAAAGGGTTGACAGTTGAGTCGAGCTCTGTAAGGAGCTTGAGAAGAGATGGTGCTACAGTTGACAAGAGTTCAGTTGCGGGAAATTCGCCGGACAGAAACGGCGGAACGCGAGAAGCGGAAGAATGTCCACTGTTAAAAGCCGTTGCTAGGGAACGGCTGATGAAGACAGCAGGGCGTAAAAGGCTTAGCTGTTGCTGCAGTGATTTATAAAGTGTGGTCATTAGGGATAGCGCTGTAATTACTTGTAGTTCCGAGTGGTGTGTATAAGTGGTCAATAAATTCGTTCACCAATCCAGACCCCCAAATCGTGACAGTACGTTTCTCACATACCTCTTCTTGTTACAATCAGGAATATGACTTGCGAGAAGGGTTTTTTAAAAGGTAAAAATGTATGTACAAATATAATTTTTCTCAACTTCTCTCAAGGAGTGTATAATATACTTACTGCCCGATGTACATATTACCATTAAATTCCATCTGGCTAAATATTACTTGTTGTTAGCAAGTATGCTGTATTCATTTGTTTACTTAGACCTAGTTATTGGTAAACATTTTTTTGCTGCACAAATTAACTTCAGTTCCTTAGTGTAACACTTATCTACTCCGTGCATCGTTACTAAAGCACAATTAGTGAGCACGTAAGCTTATAAAGCCAGATAACTAAGTTACTCGCTAACAGTGGCAGTTTTAGCTGCGAGAAATATAACGACGTGACAGTTTTCTTCAGTCACTGTTAAGTAACGCCATTTTGATAGGACGGCCGTAGGAGAAGTCCGATATTCACCGTCTGTACGGCGTCAGTTACAGTATCAGGTACAGAACACGTGAAGACGTGATGGGTTGGAGTAACACAGAGACACCGAGAGAAACTTATGTCACATTTTCAGCTCAGTTATCCGTATGACGTTGAACCGATCGGCGGATTACAGGCGCGGTTTACAGATATGCGGCCTTCTAGCCGTATTATAAAATATATGCTTCGTTTTTGGCTGCCCCTGACAGTGCAGACCACTGAACCAAATTATCTACATGATTGTCTTGATTGTTTGGTGAAAACGTCTGAGGAGAATCAGAGTTTTCCGGTGGCGCGACGGCTGCTGTAAAGCGTTCACTATAAAATGGTTTATGGCTTTCCATTAAGTGGAGACAACGTATCTTTTCTGTCCATAAGAAAATTGGGATTCAGTTATGCGCTTCAACAGTTGGACATAGGATTGACGATCTCACAACAGTGGTCATGGAGGATGTTATCTGCTGGGACAAGACAGGCAGCAGTCCGGAAGACACTTGCCAAAGTTCTGGAGGACATACCTTGAAGATTGAGGCTGAAGACTCCTCTGAAACTTTGCTAAATATGTACCGGACTACTCGGCGTCACAAGACAGTAGTCAACAAATAGATGATGCGTTCATAAACTGCTGTTACTGTACGAGGGAGGATCCGTGACGCAGAACGAGACTCCGTTTAAGGAAACAGCTTGACCGGGAAATTCAATGTTCTCAGAATGTCACGGGTTGGCTTCCAGCAGCATGTGCAATCAGGCTTTCTCGAAAACCATCCTCTCTCTCTCTCTCTCTCTCTCTNAGAGATAGGATGGGATGGTATGGTCTGGATCGATCTGGCCCAGGATAGGGACCAGTGGAGGTCTCTTCTGAACACGGTAATGAACTTTTGGGTTCCACAAATGCTGGGAAGTTCTTGAGTTGCTGCACAATTGGCGGCTTCTCAAAAAGGGCTCAGCTCCGTGAGTGATAAAATAGGAAGATTTAGTTTATATGGAATCTAATTTATACCCTGTTTTCGAATTATGTGTTACATAGTTAAGCCCAAAAATCAGGAACCGTGAATATTCTCGATTTTGTTGCATACGTAGAACTTAGAATTACAAGGATTTTGGAATCTGTCCATTGTCCGGTATTCTAGAAATTCGAAAACACAACGTTTCGGAAAACTGGATCTGATTCCGCTTTGAGGTGGGGGTGGGGAGACACCAACTTTTTGGGTTCCTTAGAAAGGTTAACCTCAATCCAGTAATTAAGGTCAGCTCTTTCTAAGGAACCCAACAGAGTAGGTGTCTCTCTTCCTCACCGGAAGACGGAAACAGATCCGGTTTCCGAAACATTGTGTTTTCGAATTTGTAGAATACCGGACAATGGACAGAGTCCGAAAACCCAGCAATTCTGAGTGTTATACACCAGGCATGTCCAACGCGTCGATCGCGGGACGATTTTTTGTCGATCTCGTAGGCCTATAAGAAAATTATACGTGAAAAGCTTGTAAATTCACTTGTAATATATACGTAATATGATTATATTCAGATTTTGAAGGGAAAATACGTATTAAAGTAGTCTATACTTTCAATGTATGTTGCTTCTACAACAAACATCATGTTTCCTGTTATTTTTACCAATATTTTTGCTTAAAGCGAGGTACGACCGTAGGAGGAGGTGGTAGATCACTGGCAGTTTTGACACTAAAAAGTCGATCACAACCTGTTTGAAGTTGGACATGCCTAGTCTATAAAATGTGGGAACCACAACATCTTACAACCCTATGAGCCTCCACGGCCTGTTACAGGGATACCCTTACTTTTTTTTTACTTAATGAAACATGTCATATTATACAGTGCGCACTTGATTGTACGCACTGTATTTGACCAAAATTGTAAGAACACCAAGAAAAAGAAAAGTGCTGTCCGCACTCAGAAGTTCAACACACAGAACTGTGACGCGGTGAAAGTGTCCAGATCTGGAATTAGCGTATCAGAATTAATCTCAGAAATGTTTTCCTTTTATTTCTGAGATTAATTCTAATACGCTAATTTGTTGACTGGGAACCTGTTCCGATTAACCCTTATATACCGCGGCGGTCCGGGTTCGATCCCGGGTCTGGTCAAGTGGGATTTGTGGTGGACAAAGTGGCGCTGGAGCAGGTTTTCTCAGAGTACTTCGGTTTCTCCTGCCAATCATCATTCCACCAGTTGCTCCACAATCACCCTCACCTATCATCTGGGGCTGGTACAATAGGCCAGAAGTGGCCGCAGTACAGGGGACTTAGTCCCACCCCACTAGCAAAGAAGAATTAATTTGATTCAACTTAACAAACTGTAGGAAATCAGCATAGTTGCTAAACCTACCCTATATTAACCCTCTGTAGCAAGAATTTCTTTTAAATAATATTTAAAAAATCGGCCCCCTCCTTGTTGATTATTGTAATATGTGAAGTTGTCCCTGCGCTAAACTCGTTAAGCACTACGCCATGAAGACGTATGGAAGAGTGGATGTTGATTATTATTGTTTAGGGAAAGAATCACTCTTCATTCTAAGAATTGTGTAAAACGCATATACACTCAGGCAACATGAGGTTTTTAATATTAAAGTGAGTGGTTCAAAGCAGTGTTTCTCAACCGCTGGGCCGCGATCTCACAAAGGTTTAGAACCGCTGATTTAAAGGACTGAACGTTTCTTGAATATGATACTAAAATACTGCAAGAAGGGAACATAAAAGAGACAGTCGACAGAGAAGCGGCTTAGTTGTTTCGCACATATTTTCTGCTATACAAGCGAGAAATGATCTGAAAGAAAGATGCCAACAGATTTAACCTTGGAAGAGTCATTTAGTGGGACGAATTCGTCCTGCAAGCCATAAGTTGGAGAGCCCTGCTCTACAGCAGTAACCGGATTGACCAGCAAGGGCAAGCATAAGAAAGCAGTATATATACGTATATATGTGTGTGTGTACATAAACACGCATTGTGAAGCTTCGTGGGAGAATTCTTCACAATTGACCTCCTCCCTATGCAGGATACAGTCCCCGACCTTTGTGTGGAACAATGGTGCAAGTGACATCATAACTTCTGACATGAACGAAAGGCTAATCTACTTTATTCCATCGCTTCCGGATATGAAATGGCGGAAATATGCCCTTGCTTATTCGCATACTTGTCTGATTTTGTTTATTAATACAAGTAAATGTGATATAAATCTATCGTTTTCGTATTTTAAGTAGGTACAAATGTCATGATTTTCTCAATAGGTAGGAATATTCTATAGGACGTTCGGAAGTTATTTTCATTTTCACAGGAAGACCTAACTGACTTACTACTTTCAAGTTTGTTAATAACTTGCACCTGCTTTCTTCTTAATTGCGATAACTTTAATAAATTTCCCCAAGTGAATATTTAATTCTTTCAGAAACCGTGGGGAACCAGTTTCAAGCTCTAACATGTATGTGTCTCCCTCGCGCCCTGAGAAAATCGAATATTGTGGTTGTACGCTCCATTACACTGAGCAGGACCGTTCCGTTACAGGGGAGGACAAATGTTTTCAGTTCCGGTACGGCATCACGGCATAAAGAACTGTTAAACCTTGGAGGAGGAGGTGGTGGTGTGTGGTGGGGTCGGTATACTGTAACCTTGTCTTCTAGGTGTCTGCTTGACCTTCCGCTGCAGACATCCACTGTACATTCTGCAACTGAAATTAATTTCTACTTTGCTGTACAAAGAAACGTGCCGTCAAACACGGTGTAAAACGTAAAAGTTACTCCTTTATGCCTTTGTCAGACAGTCGTGGTTAGGAAAGCCGTGAACACTACCGTGGCGCCTGAAGGAAAACGCCGACCCAACAGCTTCGTCAGTGACTTTCATACTGAGCCACTTGGACGTTTGATGATAACGCCCGTCAGACAGTCTTTGTATGCTTTCCCATGTGAAGATGTTCCACGGTTTTATTCTCAATTCGTGCTATGTGATCAGTCTGTTGTGATAACGCGAGCTTCATTGCTTAGCAACCGCTGTTTACTAGTCGTTGCTAGGCAATGAAGCTCGCGTTGTCACACTTGTTTGAATGTGGGCAGTTCCCACATCAGTATCAAAAGAGTTTGTTTGAAGTGGTAGTGTTACAATCAGAACATTTGCTTCCAACCAGACTGGGAACATGAGATGATATTTACTTATGGAACTGAGCCCTTCATGATGAGAAGGCAAGTCTACAGCTACTCAAGAATTTCCCAGCATTTTATGGAACCCAAAGTTTCATTACCGTGTTCACACGAGCCCTCCACTGGTCCCTATCCTGAGCCAGATCAATCCAATCCATCCTATCTCTCTAAGATCCATTTTAATATTGTCCACCCACCTACCCCTTGGTCTTCCCAGTGGTCTCTTCTGGCTTTCCCACCAATATCCTATATGTATTCCTCTTCTCCCCCATTCGCGCTACATGTCCTGCCCACCTCATCCTCCTCAACTTGATCATTCTAATTATACTCGGAGAAGAGTACAAGTTATGAAGCTCCTAATTATGCAGTTTTCTCCAACTACGGAAATGTGCATTGAATTATAAGTTAGAAACTAGAAGTATGAATGTAGTTGTGAAGAGAAACGGTAAGGATAGGATCCAGTTGCGTCCTAATAAGTAAGAAGTAGTACGATGTAGTAGTTAGACTTGTAACTCATAAGCTGACAGTGAGAACTTTCTTTCTTCTCTGAGTAAATACCAAATATTTGTTTAGTTACGTCCAATAACAAGTGAGGGTTTAGGAACTAGGTTTGGCTGCTGATGTAGGACCTGCTTGTGTGGGTTTAGAATGCACGTGTGTATGCTGTGCGTGAAGCACAGGATTTTAAACTGTCGCCGTGTTTCTACAGTTCGCATTTATTTATTTATAATGGTCGAAATTGCTATGTTATGTCTACGGGCTGGACGACTGGGAAATCGGGTTTCGATTGCCGGTAGGGACAAGAGGTGTTTATCTCTCCATAGGGTCCACGCCGAAAGCGTAGTCGATATAGAGGCTGACTACGGGCTGGACGACAGATGGTCCGGAGTTAGAGTCCCGGTAGGGCTAAGAATTTTCTCTTCCCCACGTCGTCCAGACCGGCTCTGGGGTCCACCCAACCTCCGGGGATAAAGCGACCAAGGCGTGAAGCTGACCACTCACCCCCAGCTAGTGCTATGGTCAAGAAAATATGGATCTATATATCCGGTCCCCCATACGCCTTCATGGCGTAGTTAAACACAGGGAAAACTTTACCTTTTTTTACCTAACCACACCGACTCTAAGGCCCACCCAACCTCCCAACCAGTGAGTACCTGGTGCGGGGATATGTTCCCTTGGCATAGAGCGAACAGTGCGGGAAGTTTGCCACTCGTCTCTATCTATGCCGAGGATAAGAATGATGGAACCATATCTCCATTTCCGCTTACATCTTCATGACGTGGTACTTCATTAAGCAGAGCGACAACGTTTCACTTTTATGTTCCTTGTATTTACACGCACTATAAGTCCGTGTTACGAAGCGACAGTAGAGTGAAATAATTTCAGAACCGTCAAGATGTTCTATGGAGACCTGTACTGAGGTAAAGCCTGTAATATATAGGTCTTGATGCGGATGTAGAA